TGGAAATATGTCATTGTAGCGTCTAGTCGGCCTATTCTAAGGAAGAAAAGAGAGGGGAATGAAGAAGGGAATAGTGTCAGTGACCTCTTACTTATGAACATTAGACAGCCTGCTTCATGCTTATTGGCGCACTGAAGCTGATGAGATTTATTACTTAGGAATCCAAATTTGGTACTGACAAGGCATTTTTCAATACTCGATAGTATTGAATCAATGCGGTCAGTGCCATAAAAGTAATACAAGTAAAAGAAAGTTCGGTAAAAAACTGTCAAAGTGGCAAACAGAAGAAACACTTTTACACGGTGGCTCTCTAACCTACCTGCTGCAATGTTCCACTGGTTTCGCATTACTAAGAAATAGCTTAAGAAGAGCAGGGAGGCGCAGGAGAAAAGGTTGGAAATGTTTCTGTAGTTGAGGGCTAGAGAAGTACTGCCTGCCAATAGCTGGTGTCATGCTGAGCTGTCATGGTGCCAGAACATAGGCTGGTTTAGACCAACCAGGCACAGTTATCCTGGCACAGCTACGATGGGGTCTGTATTGGCGTTAGGGGTCTTGTAGTGACAAATTGGCATTGAAATGAAGGTGTAACCTTTCTTGGCACGTTGGTGGTGCTTTGACAAATGTAGTTGAATAATGACCCCCAAGTTAATCATTACCCATCATGACATTCAAAATGTAGTCAACAATCAACTGGTGGCACCACATCGTTCTCAGACAGATGTTAGCTGTTAGTTAGGTACTAGTCAGATGTAAATGAGTATTGACAATGAGCATTTTAATATTTAATATATATTTTAACACTCCAAGCTCTTAATCAAACTCTACAGGATCCAGAGTTTTAAAGTAGATTGTACTGTCATTCTACAAAAATGACTGCTAAATTTTTATTAACTTTTCTGTCATCTGTCTGTCTTTCCAGATGGGCTTGGGCAGCAATGGGGGTCCATTTGGGGCCCAGCCCTACGGTCAAGGTGCCACAGGGCCCGGCCAGCAGCTAAACCCTCAGCAGCAGCTCCAGAACAAGGCTGCCCTTGCCAACAGCCTGCCACCCTTCCCTAGTGAGCTCAAAGGGGCCGCTGTCACTAGTGTGCCAAATATGGTTAGTGCTTGTTACACATATTCAGACATTAACTTACAGATAAGACATTAACTTCCAGATCTGCTCTGAAAATCACTTGTCCTGTTTTCTCCTTTGAGAAAACCAAAAAAAAAAAAAA